CGCCGCGCCCGGCTCGCGCTCCGCCTTGACGTGCGCGTGCAGCGCGCGGTGGATCACGTTGTGCAGCCGGGCCCGGTGGCCCACCGTCAGGTCGATGACCCCGTCCTGTGGGCCCTGCAGCACGCCCGGGAAGCCGGGCTGGCTGCCCGCGCCCGGGGGGCTGCCTCCACGCCGGGTTAGGTCCACCACCTCGCTCCGGCCGGGCTCCGCGGGCGCCAGGCTCAGGGCCTGGCCCGAGCAGCCGGGCGGCGAGTCCGAGGACTTGGACGAGCCCTGCTTGGAGTCCCGGGGGGACAAGGAGCGTCCTCCGGGCTTGCCTCCGGCCGCCGAGGAGTCGCCCGGGGCGCTCGGAATGAAGCTCTCCCCGTTACTGGAGAATCCGTTGGGGGGCTTGGAATCATTGACGTGGGGGACGGGGATGGGGATGGGGATGGGCACGGGCAGGGGCACGATCACCGGGTACGGCACGAGCAGGGTGGGGGGCGGCACCAGGGGCGCGAGCGACGGCAGCCCGAAATTCATCATCTGGGGCACGGGCATCGGGCCATTTGGCATCATGCTTACCGGCGGGAAGGGAAGACTCGGCAAGGGGGCGCCCGGGGGCGGCGGGGGCAGCAGGCCCGGAGGGTTCCCAGGCATGGTGGGCGTGCTTGGGGGGTGGATGTGGGGCGATAGCATGGGTCGGTGCATAGGACTGGAAGTGGGGCCCAGGTTCCTGGGGCCACCGGGTGGGGGCCCAATGCCAGGAAGCATGGGGTTGGACAGTGGGCTGTTGGGGTTGGAGGCGTGGTGCGGTGGCCCGCGGATGAAGGGCGGGCGGATCTGCTGCATGATCTGCTGCTCCATGAAGATGGGCAGCGGCACCGGGCCGCGGTTGGTCATCACCATAGGAGGGCTGCGAGGAGGGACGCCCAGGGGAGGTCCGATGCTAGCAGGCGGCTGCACAGAGACAGGAGGGAGGTTCGGAGTCTCGCTGATGGGGATAGACTTGGGCACCGGCGTGGGGATTTTAGTGACAGAGCAGTTGGCTGTGTCAGATGGAGAGACGGTGGTGGATGTGGATGGGCCAGGGCCTTGGCTTTGGACAGCGGCAGCCACCGGGGAGGGAGCCTTCCTCCGAGCATCAGTTAGCGGGATATTCCAAGAGTCTGGAGTGAGCAGCTGCACCCCGGTGCCTTCTGCTTTATTTTCCATGGGCGGGTGTAATGTGCTGCACAGCCCAGCTGGAAGATTGGCCTGTGTCTCTTTGTAGAAAATGTCCATTTTGTATTGGTTGAGACATTTTGCACTGCAGAACTGAAGCCTTCTTTCCCCGTCCCCAAAATCCAGGTATTCTTTTGTGTGTCTTATGTGCTTACACCAGTCACATACCTACAACACAAGCAATTAAAAAAAAACACAACAGGTGAGATAAGCGATTTCCTTGGGTAGATGGGAGTTTCAGGTTTCACATCAATGTTGGTTCACACTTTATCATAATTTCTCAAATAGGCTGAAGTATTTCCTTCTGAAAGGTAAAATTCTGAGATGTCTGTGAAATGACGGGCTTTATAAATACTAACTTCAGAATAGCAATAATCACAGTCTCTTTTTTCAAGAAATTGAATTGTTCCTTTTAAAACATGCCTTACAGAGAGCTCTGATTTAAAAGAAAAAACAAAAGGAGTGTATATAGTAGTGCAAATTCCTGCCCCCACAGTCAGAGGCTCACTGTAAACACAAATCTGAACAGTTTGGGAGGAACGGTTTCTCCAGAAAGTTCAATGGGCATGGCACATAACCCCTTAAAATTCTCCTCAGGCAAAATCACTCCACACTGCTGTGTCCAATAATGCAGTTGGAAGGGGTGTGCTGTGTTAACCAATAACACAGAGCACTGAACACCATTATGTCTGGCTTCCAAGGAGAAACTTGGACTTGGTCATGAAGTCTGTGTGAGGTTTAGCTATTCCCAACCTGTGATGTTGCAGCAAACTAGAATTATTTTTTGAGCTGTTTGCCCACTCTTTCTCAGTAGTCAGAATTTTTGGTGACATTTCTTGGCAGGCAGTCTTATTTAACAACTTTTCAAACACCAGAGAACATTTTCCAAAAGTTGTTATGGGTTTTTTTTCTCCCTTCTTCATATCTATTGCTGGCAAAAGAAAGACATCACCAAATTTACTTTAAAGTTGGGCTGCAGGACTAATTAAAGACTGAGAGCTTTTCCCAATTGGAAATCACTAGACATCAAAGTTCAAAAAATAGTCATTCTCGGCTTCAGAACCCATTACTTTGGAGAAATTATTGTGATTTCATTAACACATTAATTTTGCAACACCATCAGCTCTCACAGATGGTGAAGACATGATCTACAATTCAAATATGACTCTTGTTTGCACAAATGTCTTTCCTTCATATGGCATTTTAAACAAGAATTAATATGAGTAATCTTGCCATAGCTATAAACAGATAAACAGATGTCAAAATTTTCAATAGCTCTTTCAGTGTCTTCTTTTGACAGAATTTTACACACACAATCTTTTTTCTTTTTCTTTTTTATTTATTTTTGTCGTTTTCTTACTATTCAAATCATATACCACCAGAAAAAGAATTGAGAAATACAGTGCAATCATGAATTTCGAAAACTCCATTTCTTTCCCAGTAAATCAGTGGTTCCAATATTGTTCTAAATGGGACCCCATTTTTAAAGAGAATGTCTGTTCTGTTGGTGGTGTTGGTGGTGGTGTTGTGTGTGTTTAACTATCATAAAGTAGTATAATTAAAAGATGATAAATTTTAATAATGATTGGTCATATAAACAACATAAAAACAACATATGCTGGGCATTTGATTACTCATCTCATTTAACTCTCAGCTTTCCTTGACTGTAAACAGGATGGCGTTCTAGTTTGGGAATGTGGGCCAATATTCTCATGGCAGATGTGGGTCTGTGTGTAAACTTTTTCTCACTTAAAAAAATTCTAACTGGTATTTACAGGTAATAAACTTCACAATGTGAGATTTAATAAAATGTACTTACTGACACCCATTAGTTTTCTGTTTGGTCTCGTACAAAGTTGCCCTTTCAAAATACTTCTTAAAAGCTTTGAGGAGAGTGATGATTAGAAAATTATTCTTTCAACTTAGTTATCAATGCTGTTGCAGTCGCTAATGTGGTTAAACAAATTGATGAAGCCAGGCACCTGTGCCTCACACCTGTAATCCTAGCTACTCTGGAGGCTGAGATCTGAGGATTCATGGTTCAAAATGAGCCCAGAAGGAAAGTCTTATCCCCAATTAACTACCAAAAATAGCTGGAAGTTGAGGTCTGGCTCAAGTGGTAGAGTGCTAGACTTGAGCATGAAAGGTCAGAAACTGGGTCCAAACCCTGAGTTCAAGCCTCAGGATGAACATATACACACCAAAAAGTGAATAGTTTCGATGCTCATATCTGCCTATTGTTCACTACACTCTTTTGAGTTCCTCCTGAATTGCCTATGTGGTCTATCACACCTTAAATTTCTCATCTAGGTGAAGTAAACTAGTAGTGTGCTATTTTATTAAAGTTAACAGTAATGATGTGGCATTTGAATATCATTGTGAAATAAAACCACATACTTTTATTTCAATATTAGGTATCTGTAGAAAAGCTAAAATATAAATATCCAAGCTTAAAGTAAGGGATAAAATATATCTGCTTTACTCATAGATTAGAAAAAAATCATCAATAAACTAATTAAAATAAGATGCCAAATTTTCTGGCATATTTCTTTTGGATCTTATTCTTCAACCATAAGGGGGAAGAGTTTTCTGAGATCATTAATTGGCTTTTAAATTGCCAAATTGAATATTTTTGCCTCCAGAGGATTCCTATTACTTGAAGCTAAATAAATATTTTCATGTGGAGTGAAAATAATAATAATGTAAATATAACTTAAACATTCTCCCTTCCTTCCCTTCATTTTCAATAATTTATTGGCAGATAAGGAATGCTCATAGATCTATCCCAATTATGAAATGAGAATTCTTCAGCAAATATTATCTATTTCCACATAAAAGAATAGCAGGTATTAAAGTTAAAATAAACCCCTATTTTCCTATTAATGCAAAAGCCTAATGTTGGTACTTGATTTTCTGTGGCACCCCAAATGACATGGTAGCATACCACCTCACCTTATTGCATTTCAGTTCACAAGATGGCCTGAAAATACAGCCAAGCAATCTTCCTGATAAAGCAAAAACTTATTAGAAGGGGGGAAAAACTGTTGCTTCAGAAATAATGAATCAAGTCTGTCATACAGTACTCATCATTTAAGATGAGGTCAATGAATTTATGGCACAAATGGCTATATCATGTGAGGCAATAAAACATAGTATCATCATTCATTCTCCATCTAACTAATGACACACTTCTTATAATTAAAGATTTCATCATAAGAGCCTGAGCTGATTACTTAAGATGTGATAATTGGGCAAAAATATACACTATCTCTATCTCTTTCTTTAATAAAACAACACTTGCATAATGGTGGTTTTCTGGATTGTAGTATGGGGGGTGTCTCTTTTTCTGCTGTTAGCTTTACATTTTATTTATTTATTTAATTTTCACTTTCAGAGGCATCTTCCCCTCCCCCCTCTTATTATGGCAAGAAACACCAAATTTCCTCTAGATATTTTCAAAAGCAAAGATGGAGTACAGAGCTTAGCTTCCTGGTCCCTGCAATGTTTTGTTTCTGTTGGAATCTGGCCTTTTTTGGTTCCCCTCCTCTCCCTAACAGGTCTCAGATTGGACAGAGGCTGCTGTTGTTTAACGATGCCAATCTGGGGCCCAAGCAATCAGCCAATGCAATGCCACTGAGCAGGACAGCTGAAATGCTTCGTATCACAAATACATAATGTATCGCCAAGAAGACAAAAAGATCACAGAGAAGATAAACAAATGTGTGCTCCATTCAACCCTAAAACAGTGGTCCTCCAAAAAGATTAAATTTACCTTCCTGGGATGTGTCCAATTTTAAACAACAGGATGAACATTTCCTTTAGTCCATTTAGAGTATTTATATTTTAGTGGCTGGCTGCCAGAGTAGTACTTATAAGCTCAGTGGCCTGATGGATTCACTCCTTTCCTGTGAAATAAATGTGTGGCAACCTACACCACTAAGCTGCTCAAAAGCCACTGCCTCAGCAGAAATATCACTCGTCTTGATACCAGCAAACTCAAAGGCAGGACTTCTGGTTCCTATAACTCTTTCCATCTTGTATTTCCCCTGGAAAGAAAGCAAGCTATTCATACTGGCAACTGAACCTTCATTTTTATATAAACGTCCGAAGTCAAAGCCAAAGTATGCCATGAGGTTACCCACATGGACACAATACGTATATACATTCTGCCTGGCTTAAGAGAAGATTCGGATAACTGGTGGGGGGGGGAGGGAGGGGCAGGGTTTCTAATTAACACATTAATCAGCTGTCAGCTGTGGGAGTAAAGTTCATCCTTTAATGGAACCTACTGCTGCCTTCTGAGTGGTAATCTGGCACCAGGCAATATTTAATTAAGAAAGTCTATTGTAGAATCCTTTCTTCTCTGGACAAAGACTTTCCCAGCAGTGGAACAGTAAAAAGATATTAGCACCTCCTTGAATGCCATCAGCAATTTGAAAAACAAAAGAAAACATCTTCCTAAGCTCTGACTTTCCACTAATACAACGGCCAGGCAACAGCTCAGGAGCTGTAGCTCCTTAAATGCAATCGTATTTTGTCAGGAGGGCGATGGGAAGGTTAAATGTGGCATTGATCTTGTAGTCTGAGCCAACTCAGAGAATCATGAGCTATTGGAGAATGGTGTGAGGGAGGATTGAGATATAGAGGTGACGGTGCCTAGGGTTTTAAAGGATTAGAAGTCTGCCCTATTTGTACAGTCACCTCACAGCAGGAATTGAGGATCCTATAGAATGACCACACTTGAGCACCTGCTCCCAGACTCCTCTGGAGTGCCAGGGTCCTAGTGTCTAATGTTCCTTTAGATCCTGACACTGCCTTTAGGAGAGTTCTAGTTCAGTGTACCTGAGTGACAAAATAGGCTATGGATATCCTATGGGGTTTGGAATCTGGAACCGCTGGTGCTCAGTCTGGGCTTCACTACAACCTTATGAATAGCTCAGCTTCAGTTTTTGCATCTGTAAAATGGAGCTAATAGTAACATTGGGAGCCATGCATAAGACTAAGCTTGTTCTTCCAGGTTATCTTTTTAATCCTCAGCCTGTCCCCTTCATGGTTGTTAAAACCACACGTTTGTGGGGAGGAGGCTGCTCTGTCAGTGTGAGGAGGGAAAAGAAGACTGCTTTCTTATGAGCCTCTGTATCTTTCAGAGAAAAACAGGATGCTTCTTT